CAGACCACATCACTTTTTCCCATTCGATGAGGGGGGGGGGGCACAATCCGATGGAATGTCTTGTAATAGCTCGGGAACGCTTTTTGTGATCGTCATGAAATTGTGAGACTTTTTTAGCTTTTATTTCGGGTCAATATGGTACCGAAATAAATACTGCCCATGGTTGTCACGCCGACCAAATTAAATAAATAGGCTGCGTCAGATGTAGGCAAATTGTTGTTTTCCACGTATACTCCGTAAATTAAAGATATGGCTTTTCTGAAACCCAGACCTTTAAAATATGGTTATTCCACAATTGTAAACATGAAATGTCCGCTTCCTTTTAGCGAAACAACCACCTTTTCGCATGAAATGCTGTCTTTATTGAAACCGTTCCTTATTGAGAAAGACATGCAAATATCACGGAAGAAAACCGCACTATACGGAATCAAAATGCTGTATGTCATTAAATGGTTTTATTTTGATCTTGACAACAGATAGTTGTCAGCGACTGGGTCTTGAAGACGGCACCATTCCTGATGAGCGTATCCGAGCATCAAGTGATGGTGACTTTAATCCTGCCGCCATGGGACGACTGAATGGCCCGTCGTATTGGAGCCCATCATACTAGTAGGTTCCTGCTCCCATCAGTGCACTGCGCGGTTGAGTTGGGTTTTATTTTCAGACTGGATTTGCACCCTTTTGTTTCGCTTAATGCAGCCGGTCCCGAGCCCGATCCCTGACAAGCGCCGTTAAACTATCTCGGCCCTAGAGGGCGCTATCAACATGATTAGATTTAAAGACCCTGAGAATTTCAAAGTAACCCTTACGTGCGCTTGATATGCTCGGAATCTCATGGGTCCCACTGCTAAAGTTCCCAAGACTGAATTTGTTTCATCTTTCTGATTGTGCCGTCTACCATCACCGCCGCAGTTTGACGGTGTTTTGTATTTCAGAGACCGGCTGAATACGGGAACAAAAAAAAACTTCCGCCTTGGACCAAAACTACGCCGGGTTGAAAGACTGGCAAGCTTTTGCAACCGTGAATGGATCCTCACCAAACTTAGATAATTAAAGTAATGACGTTTTGCTAATTTCATATGCGTCGGTTTGTTATATTAAACTATACCGATTCAGTCCTGTTGGATATGATAAGCGTGTACATTTTTCAAATAGGGTCTACAGGTAGTAGCGACTGAATTCGATTATTATATCACGAAAGCAGACAATATTTGTAAAACACATAGTAATCGTGCGATATCGGCTCCTGTCCCTATCCATTCAGATTAGCGCATGCGTACTTGCATGTCACGTGGTTATCAATGTTTCATGTAATCACTAGGAAATCCAGTCTGCAACCTTTAATGTGCCCTTGGTTATCGATGACACTGATGAGTCTCTTTGGTTTATGTGCTCATGATAGCCCGCCCTGTTGGATGCCCTAGGTGTCCTACAAGCCCACACCTTCATCTGGCTACGAGTACATCAAGGAAAACAATGGTGATATCAAGTTAAGCCTAGCATTCGCGCATTATTTGTGTGTACTTTTAGAGAAAAAAAGTGTGCTCATTTTTTTTTACAGCGTTTCCTTCTATTTTGTTTTATTTTCAGTTGTTTGATTGCGGGGATATTGACTCTGCTTCTACCCCTCACACTAATTACTTCAACCAGTCAATCATGGCGTCTACTGTGCGCATTCACCCTACTCGCTACTCACATAAATGTGTGCTTCGGTTTGAGTTGATTCAATGTCCAATGGATTAATTCCTTGTGGATTGATATTCATTCTTGAAATATTTCCCGGTACACAGTTTTTTAGGGCAAGACAAAAAAGTGGAATAAGGGCACGTTAATGTTAGCTTATCCTTGTTTTTGAAGTAAATGTGAAAAATAAAAGCGATTCTCACTAGCGCCCTTGAACAAAGATATTGAAATAACCACCAACATAGGACTGGATAGCCCAGTTGGTAGAGCACTGGAGGTCGCAGGTTCAAGCCGTTCCAGACAGTTTCTTTGTTCAACTTTTTACTTATTTTTATATGCACTTCTATATAATCTATTTCAGTTACACTGACTTTTTTGAGGTTTTGGGTTTGAAAATGCTATAAAAATCAAGAAAAACAATCATTTTCCTGTAGTCTGGTTCCCTGACTCCATATAAGAAGAAACAGAGCAGTTTACATACATTGGGGAAATTGTAAGGTAGGTCAGGGAACCAGTCTAGCTGGCTTGTACCCGTTTATAGGTGTGTACTCGATTGCAAACAAGTGCGATGGTCAATTGGGGCAAGTATTTGAAAAAAGCCAGTTTTTTCCAACGCTGGTCGGCCGACCAGCGTTGGAAATTGATACAAAAATACCACTTTTCTTGAAAATGGCAGTATACCAGGTGCCATGATTTTACAGGATGCTTTACACTGTCATTTACTAACAGTCCAGCAAGGTATTTCAAAATGATTTGGTAGTTGTTTTTTTTTATGTTTGCAAATGTTGTATTTTCCCTTTAACATTACAAGTTTCTTTAACTTAGCTCTACAAACATGCAGTAGACATAATTACGTTGTTTGGTAGTTAAATTCGTCATCTATAAGGATTTTATATAATGTAGGATTTTAAAGCATTATTATGCTTCACATTACAAGCACTCTTGCAATCATGAACCACACATTACCTCAACAACTTTATCTTTAGCACACAAAACACGGTATCGTTGATATAAACTTAATTTACAAAGACAACTTTGTTGTTCCTTTGTATAAACTTAAATTACATATAGCGCTCTCAGTCCACCAAAAAAATAACAACCGGAGTCAACCTTTACGCTGCAGTACAATGACATTTTATTTTGGATTGTAAATCGAAATAGTAATTTGCTCAGTGTATTATTTGGATATTGTTGTGGATTAAAGTTCAAATGATGTACCAGTATAAAAAAAGACTTGAGGGAAAACAAATCCATTTTAAATTATAACCACTTTGCGGTTCATAATATAATTCGTTTACATACTTTTTAATTGGACTGTTACCTAACGAATGTGTTTCTGAGAATTTCAAAACATGCACTGAATAAACTAACATGAAAGTACTGTAAAGCACAAAAAGTACACTCCAATGTTTGACGGAAAACATGGTGAAATATGCCACTTTTGTAACCCAGCAAAGTACCTGTATTTCGTTTCTGGTCGCTAATTGTGTCAGCAACCATGCCGGTTTTACTTCAGCCATCCATTCATGCATTAACCCAATTTCCCCACATTATCATTCACCCCTGCCCGACTGTCGCATCCTGGAGGGCTTTCGTCTGCTGTTCTAACTTTGTGTTGCTTATATCGAGTTCATCCCGAACTATGCCAGTGTCTGACGGTAACCGCCATTCCCTCTTTGCGACCTCTAATTTATCTCAAACAACCAACATCAAGTACCACACTGCGGAGGTCGTTAGACTGGGTTTTTTTTTGTTAGCTTCAAGAACAAGCAGTTAATTTCTCAGGAAGCTTTGTTTCTAAAACTTACTTTAGACTCTGTCGTCAATAAAGCGATTAGTTTTGAGTGCTACCTCCAACCAATCCCATCAGTAAAAGCCTCGTGTATCATCAGAGTATCCTAGTGGTTTTTTTTACAACATTTTCATAAACAACAAAAGCTCAGACGCCGCTGAGTTGTCTCACTATGTTAATGCCCAGCACAGCCATCTCGCTAATTTCTGTGTCTACGATGGTTTGTCAACCCGTTCGCTAAGCTGCAGAAACAAAAGCTTTCTGGCTTTTACTTTGCAAACATGACTAAATACTAAACATGTGTAGAGTATTGATGGACATATGTAGCAACTGAACATTGATGTTCAGGAATTGGACACGTAATGTTTAGCTCTAGACATGTTTACAAAGTGCAGCAAAATTTTGTTTCATTTCTAAACACATTTTTTGGAGTGTGTCGTGGATTGATATAATAATTATTACTAAAATTGTACCATAACACAATATTTAAACCACATCTTGAGTATAGAGATATTACGAGACTTTGCTTAATGTGTCTGTATATCATGCTGAATATTAGCGTATAAGTGTCTCAATAAATCATTTAAGTAACTGAAAGCACTAATATCGATGTTGACTATTATACGTTCAATTTTTCGCATTCTACGACAAAAGCTTTGTTGTCTACAATAATGAGCAACAACATTTATCGATTGTAATTAAGTTTACATAATGGAATTGATTAGTACATCTTGATACCCATGGTGTCTGGGTAAACGTTCATGCATAAATTACCGCTTGTTTAATCAAGTATAAAAGTAATCAATTAATGATATCAATTGTGACTGCAGTTGTCACTTCATTTCTTGAATAATAATACGCGGGGAAATGAACGCAAAGATGAAGATACGACAGGTGGAGAAAACGAAAGCTGAGTTTAAGATATGTGAGGATAGTCCATTGCTTAACAGGGAGAATTCGCGCTAGATAATGTGAGCAAGACTAGCCAACCTGCATGGTCTCACAACAAAGTAAGGAAATTGTATTCAATTGATTTAGAATGGCTATTCACTGGTTGTCAAACATCTCGTCTACACAATGGACAGGATTTGGCCTATTACGGGGTAATCCTATACGGTAACACTGCCCGGCTCTCTATGCCAGTATACAACCAGTCTAGGTCACAATATGCCTAAGACGTAATGACGTCACGCTTTGTTTACATGTACGCTTTCCTATGTAGTAGACGGTCCCCACTTTATCTGGCGTCCCGACTTCGCTCCTATAGGAAAGTGCATAATGGAAACAAAGCCATAACGTCATTACGTCTCAGGTCTATCCGCTCCGTGCACAAGTACCCTATCAACAGCCAGAAAAGGAGAGTTGGGGTGATCTAGACTGGTTCCCGATCCATCCACTGCGTATTTTGAATGTCCCCAAAGTTATTGGAGGCGGAGATTAGTCTCGGAGACCATTGCAAGTTGAATTCGAATGTATTCGCGCGCCGACGACGCCTGACGCTCACGCGAAGACGCGGTTGCTATAGCTTTTGCACACTCAGGAAGTCGTGCGTACTTTGCGCACGAACCAGCACAGTACAGTACACGCACGCTGTGTCCCCCGTCCACGGAGCTCTCAAAAGAGGGAAAAACACGCCTTCTTTTGGTCGCGCACAGAGCCCATAATTGACAGTGTGTCAGTCAGTCAGACAGTCAGCGATATAGGAACAAAGAGGCTACTAGCCTAGCCTAGCCCCACGACGAACAGAAAATTGCCGAGCAGGAATTTGAAACTATAGATGTAATACTGACGTTAAAGCAGAGAAAACCTACCTTTCCAAAACTCCTCTTTGTCCTTACAAAAACGTTAAGTATCGGTTACAAACTAATGGACTTGCAAATCTGACATTTATGATGTCTAACAAGTTGTCCCAAACTGATTCATCGATAATTCTCATAGATTGAGCTGGAATCCAAGTAGGTTTGGATCACCTGATAGCACAGTTGGTACTGAGCCTGAAATTAAAAACATAATAAAGGTATGATTTGATTTAATTCCTGTTCACATTTAACTGGTGGTATTCTTCGCATCCAATCATGAATAACAGTGTTGCTTTAGTTTTAATAGCACAGTTGTTCTGGCTACCACGTTACATTTGGTCACCGTTTAAGCAACACTACATCTGGTTCGGACACAAACTAAGATTCAAATGGATCATAAGGGTGGGCAGGGGAGTTTCCAAAAAGCTGGCTTCGTTTCCAGCTTCGGATCCATCTCTTGCTACAGAATCAATAAAAATGTTTAAATGTTCACACCAAGCTTGCAAATACCGAATACTGGCATTCCGCTTATATGGAACTTAATTTTCCTGAAGCTTAAACTGCACCCACGTACCCTTTTAAGTCAGGGGACAAAATCTCATGAAACCGCAACGGTTTACAGGCCGAAGTTTCATAAAGTCCTTGATACCACATCGCAATATTGCGCTTAATAAAAAGGCTATGCATGATCCAAAGATTTAGTGATGCAGAAATAATGCTTTGAAACGTACCAAAGTGTTGACCATCCCAGCTCGGGTGATGCGGAGTTTCTTGGTGGCTTGGAAGACGTCTACAACTTTCTCCAGTGCGAGTTGGTCCAGGAGTGTGAGTAAGGCGCAAAAGGTTCCACTGCATTCGACGCCGTCACTGAGACAAAAATAACATGTTAGGTGAAGAAAATTAATTCTACTTTAAGTGTACCAATTTAAAGTGATAGAAATACAGGTTGTGTTATTGTATCTATGTTGGTCGTTCAGGTATATTAGTGCAACGGAAACACATACAATTATTTTGTGAATAGTGTAAATCGAGAACATTCAATCTGTCTTTTTCTGTTTATACTTAATCTTTTGTCAGTACCTCTCATAGGTTTAATACACGTTTTACTATCGAGGACTGTCCTCACTTGGGTTCATGGTCCTAAATCGGAAAAAAGAACTTTCCTTATGGATGTCCTCGATATAGACCGCACAGCTTATGAAAAAAACCTCAAGCGAGAAAGTTTAGTTCACACAATTTGGAGGGGAAAAGCTGTAAGATGTTTCAGAGATCCCATGGAATCAAATATGGACACTTGGATAAGGGAAGTGACATTGAAAGTACAACTGCGTTGCCACGGCCCTGTGGAGTACTTACATGCAGTGGACAGTGATGGGTCCATCAGGGTGGTCGGTCGACCACATCTTAACAGCCTCCAGCACCTTGAGGAGACTAGATGGGGATCTTGGAACCTCCTTCCCAGATGGCCATCCCAGGTATTGGATCTGACAGACAGTCTGGACCTCGTCATTCTATTAATCAAAATTATCGGTTGAAATACTGTTTGTTTTGACTACTAGATTCAGTATTTTATGGCCTCATAAAAATTAATATATATTTTCGCGAGCTTTGTTAAGTTTGTAAGAACAAAATACCACTAAACAATTCAAATTGAGGTACCAGACTGTCCCTTATAACGTAATCTGTCTTGAGTAAGCTACAACTTCGTACCACCATTCGAGCAAAGTTCCACGAGATATAGTACCCTGCCTGATTCGAAATTAAATGTTCGTAGCGCGCAAGCGCAAGGTTCGTCACGAGTCAACGACTGTACGATGAATTTTTCTTTTGTTTACTTTCTTATTGGCCTACCTTCCTAGCGGGATAGCAAACATCCAACTCCCGTATGATAATGTCCTCGTTGTGCCGGTCCTCACGGGTCAGTGTAACGGTCAGTGGCCCAATATCCAAACTGTCTTTTTCTGGCCAATACTGGACAACGCCCTGGAAAAGAACAACAACAGTCACCCAAAACAAATGGCTTACGGGACAATATTAAAGCGTATCTATCCCGTAAGTGCTTATCAAGGCTCTCTGAGTGATAATATTTTGGGAGGGTAATGACATTGTTGTGAAGCATTTCTAGAATTTCCCTACCTCAGCTGATAGCTCCGTGAGCCTACTTAATCTTGTGGTGGATTAACCTCTATCTTACGTAATAATGCCTTTATATACGGCCACGTCGACAGCGCCCATCCTGTTACTTCGTCATCCTTATATATTTAATTATTTGAAATGTGAGTTTAGTTTAGTCAATAAATAATTAGACCCGGACTCTGTCTCACAAGTTTCTTCATATATTTGTCTATCCTCTGATGATCCCGTTAAAAGAAAATAACATTCTGCAAGTATCAGTCGGTAATATACGCTGCGGAATAGCACACTCTTGTGTACTTCTTTAATCATTGTTCCTGTAAACTTTTTGCAAAACTTGTTCCTATTTCTTTATGTCAAGACCCAGCAACCACTGATACCAAATGAACTGTACTATACCGGGTCATTGCCCATGGAATTGAGCATGACAATACAAGATGATTTGTAGTCAAACACCATCCTCCAGATATCATCCCGTGTGTTAGGCAGCGGTGCCTGGGTAGCTAGGTAGGCATGCTTACTGTTATAACCCTGTTAAACGGTAAACAATATATATACGTATACAAACAGTAAACAAAAATTAGAAATCAAGCTTACACCAAACACGGACTTATATGTGCTAACAAATAAGACGTGACCTCATAGAGGAGTGCGTTAAAGTTTGATCTTTACGTTTTCGAGGAATTTAAAGGGGATCATTCTAGGGCATAACTATATGGATGTGGTATGGGTTAACGTTTTTGTATTTTTGCACGTTCGTGAGACTTACATCCAGGAATGTAGCATTGATGTAGTTGGTACTTCCTTCGTCACCTTTTGTCATCAGATACGGTCGGCTGCTGTCTTCTGTTGGACAATCAGTTCCGAAGGAAATGTTCAAATGCATGCTATAGCCTGTTCTTAAACGGTTAATGCTTATCCGAAACCAGTTTAGGAGAGAGGCATTATCAACAAATAATTGATTCAACTGATATGCAAAGGAGGCGGCAATGGTTGCTGTCTTGAGCCAGTACTAATACGTACACCAAATTGTAACTATGGACCACCACCAATGGACTATACCGATTCTCCAAAACAATGAAATAATATTGGAAGCAATTTCGCAAATATGTAACCATATATGTGCCTTTTTTGGATACTGACTTACTTGGAATGCAGTCTTTGAATCTGTTCTTGTCAACGTTGGCGGCGCTCCTCCCTCCCATACACTGCTCCTCGCTTGGTGTTGCAGTGAACGACTCCAGCATCTGTGGAATATTGCAACAACAAAAAAATGGGCAACCTATGGAATATATTCGGCAGGTCTCGATAAGCTTCTTCTGTCAGGAAAACTTTCTCAACAGGATCCTTTCGGTGAGTCGTTACTGGGTATTTTCTGTTGTTGAATCGGTAATGCAGGAAGAGTTCTAGTGTGTTTGCTTGTTTTTTTTTGTTTTTTCGGAAAAGAAAGTCGAGCCAAAAGAGTTTAGAAAAAGAAAGTACACTAAGGATGTTGGCTACGTGTCACATGAAAGCACGAGGGATGTTTAAATTTCCGGTGTGTGTTAAGGAATCGCATCGCGGACTCTGGTAGATGCAGGGCTCAAGGCCCCCCCCCCCAAAAAAAAAGAACCAACCACACTAACAAACAAATAATAATAAAAAATTATCTAAAATCGCGGATGCTAATGGTCAGCATTTTCCTTCCCCCCCCCCCAAAAAAAGAAAACGCTCATACGACTTGCCTGGAACTGCGCTTCGATGCCACTTGTCCCTGTCTTCTTGTCCCGTTTCTTGAGTTTAGCGTAGCTCTGATGGAAGCGATCAGCACTGATGGCCGTGTTCTCTGAGAGACTAGACTCCAACAGAGCATCGAAGATGAACTTGTATTGATCCTAGAAATACAAATAGTGCAATGTTGAGACATTGTTTTTGTAATATCACCTCTCTAGTTCCAAACTAGAAATACCCAGGACTTACTAGTGTTTGGACCATAAGGAAGCGCTGTTCCCTCATATCGTTTACAAACTTCAAGACATCGACTTTCCCCTCTGCCTCCGCCATCTCAAGCATGGAGTCCAAAGTGATGAAGGTTCCTGTACGGCCAACTCCAGCACTTAGGAAGAGAGTACGACAAAATAAGCCAATGAATCAAATCTGTTTTTTTCCACAAGTTGTTACCCCATCACATTAAAAGAAATGAGTTGGGCTTCAACTCAAACACAATCTGAGGGATCAAGACGTTCAACTTTACTTCGTGGAAATTGATGTCTATCCGATGCTTCGCAAAAAGCTCAGGATGGAATGGAAGGGGCACGATGCCTTTTGTTTAATCAATGCGTATTTATATTTGGCTGGTATCTAAGTTTGATTTACAGGGTCTGTTATATGTTCGTTTTTGTTAATCACGTCACCTTGATGGAGATTTAAAAACATTGGCAGTTTGCCATGGTGGGGTCACCAATAATGGTATTGCCGTTTCACAAGACATTTCTCTAGTGAGTTGAAATAAACTAGTGGAAAGTAAACGTTTTCGGCAGAAGAACTTTCCGTCGTCTTATATTTAGCACCGACCCCGATAGATCAGACAAATGAACGTGCTCTAAGGCAGATGCTTGATATCCATGTAAACATGCAATAACATTTCAAAAACATTCACGTAATGATACCTGCAGTGGACAACGATGGGTCCGTGTTGTGAAGTGTCTGTTGCTCGGACCCTTCTGACAAACTGAAGTAACGGAGATGACTCTGGTGGTTTCATGTCTGGCCAGGTGGTGTAGTGGAACTGGGTTAACTCACGGTATTCACCTTCAGGCTCACTGTTCTGTAAAACCAGACAATAAATACAATGAACATTTGGTCAGGTAGTTGTGTTTTTTTTTTCGTCAGCGGTGGCATGTTTCGATTTTTAAATCATTAAACGGGAAGAGACTGAAAAGTTTCACACTTAAGACTTACCTTCGTCACGTGGAAAGTCCTCACAATGAAATTAGAGTGTTTTGTTTCGTCCACTTTCCGGACAAACAGTTCTCCATAGTCTGCATTACCTTCGGGCCAGTATTGCTCGCATTTCCCCTAAAAACAACAGAAAGACCAAAAGGTGCCACTTGGTTATGGAATTTTCAGATTGTGTGTGTCTCGTCCATGATACTTTTCCGTGATTATTTCATCTTTTGTTTATCTTTGCCTTTTCATTTGTTTGCTTTGCTTATATGGGATTGCAAAATCGGAAGATAATAGCGCGCCCCCTACAATAATCTCGAAGACCTATTACTGAATGGAAACTTCGCAGTGGCGCACCCAGGATTTGGCTGGGGGAGGGGGGGGGCTCCCATTTTTTGCTAATTTCTTTAGAAGTTTGAATTTTTTTCAAAACATGTTGCCCAAATTTGCTGGGTTTTTTTTTGGGGGGGGGGGGGGGAGACTATTTTGACATTGGTGGATCCATTTACACCCCTTTTATACTATTCGCAAATAGGCCACCAAATATAAAAAAAAAATAATTGACTCAGAAAAAAAATCAACCTCTCGGATGGGGGGCTCAAGCTCCCAGAGGCTTGGGAGTGACACTTAAACTGCGTGAAAGAGGTTCAGTTCTGTGTCTTGGTTAGGAAAGAACTCAAGCGAATTGAATTCAACTCATTCGAATTACCTTGCCATGTTCGATCAGGTTCGTCAGCATGACGATTTTTCCCACGCGTTCCTGCCACACCATGCGCCACATATCGTCCACTGAGGCCTCAGTGGGACCTTTATTAGGTAGAGAGATATTTTTTTGTTAAATGTTATACTCAGATAAGGAAAACCTTCTGGCGTGTATCTTTCCACTGGTTAAAAGTGTTAAAACTATGAAAATACTGTGATAATAGATGGCAAGTTTTAGATGCGATTTGAGCCGATGATGGATGCACTTTTCTTTGCTACTCCTCCTTTCAATTTATTTATATCGGACGGAAAGGTGCTGAAAACATAAAAGTAAAATTTACATCTTATTTCTGAAGTCCCCCATTTTACGTTTCAATGCAACAGGTCGTCGGAATGCATCTATTGAACATTTCTTTGTTACATCTAAAATCTACTTGAAGAACTTTATTTTATTTCACTGAATACTTACCCTGACAGGCAATGTACTTGGACTTATGCTTGTAGCCCTATAAGAGTGGGGAAAATAGTTGTATTATACATCTATACGTATATATTTGATAATGTGAAATATTGTGACAAAAACGTAACTATTCAACATGCATATGTTAACTTTAAAAATGAAATGAAGACTTACATTGATGTAGGAGGCATTGATGTAGTCTGATTGTGGGTCATCTTCCAGACACTCCAAGACCACGCGAGAATGGTCATCTATCGAGACAAAGTATCGCCCAAAAAAATTGGCATGTGAACATTTGAACTATATTTTTAATTACTTAAAGCAGTGTATGACCTATTAGGATGAAATTTTGCGGGATCTTCATTCAGAGATATTTTGAAAGACGGGTACCTATCTAACTTTATTTGAAAGATTTTGACACCGTTTCTACGTTGGACATTACTACAAATGTTAAAGTGAAGCAGTTGTTTTTACAAGTAGACCTAAGTGGTAACCCCTGTTGCATGCGTTAGACGTTTACCCGTCGAAGTTGCTGAGGCTTTGTTATACGCTAAATGAGTCATACATAATGGGCGCTGAATCTCCTGAAAGAACACTCACATGCCAAGATGTTTTTGTATCTATTCTTCCTGGTGTTGTGGTCCTGTTTGGCGACGCACCAAGAGTGCATCTGCTCACCTGGAATCGACTGCAAGAAAAAGGAATATAATAATCGCATTACAATAAACGCAAAAACCGAATGTCGCAAGGTTTGGGTCCTGAAATCTATCAATAGTCATCCTCTTTTTTCTCATTCCTTTTCAAGCTAAACCATTCTGTTCATTTGCATATTTTACTGAATTTGAATGAAACTGAAACTTTAATGAAGGAAATGACAAAGAACTTTGACAATGAGGGCACTTGAGCACACTTGAGCATCACTGCTGGGCGACATGAGCTCCTATATCTGTAGCGGAAATAGGCATTTTACAAGTCTTCTTCATCATCGTCATTATTTATCAGGTGCATTGTTCTCAACTGATTGCGTACACTTCAAGCGCAATACGCTCGCGCGATCTACGCGTGTAGCACTGGCTCTCGGGAGAAGGCTACACAGCCCCGACTACTGTTCTAGCAATCACATTCGTCTGACCAAATTTAAATTAGATCTTTATACGAGTAAGTCATTCGACTGGCCTCATAGTCTTGTTGGAATCCGATGACCTTTCCAGCTGTTCTACTCTTGATGTATTCAGCCAGTTGAGCCATGGCAACTGGGCCGGCTTGGGAGAAACTCGGGGATGCCTTTGCCGAAGCCTTCAGCTTGGGCTTGGTGGAAGGATTGACGTACGGTTTGGGCTTCACGGGAGCCTTGGTGGATGTGGATGGACCAGATGCTGATGCTGAATCAGTGGATGTTGGGGATGGCCCCGCTTTGGGTGAGACAGCAATAGCTAGTTGTTCAGTAGACTTTGGTGGATTAGTGGATGACGTCACTGGTTCATCAGTGGATAGGCCTTCTGCAGCTGATGTATCAACGGATGGCTTGTAACCAGACGTAGTTGGCAGATTCTCAAGTTCAACTGAAACTATGAATGCCAGTTTTAATGATGAGTTTCGTGTTTCCACCAAAATTATTCCAATGATTTTATCGCCACATTGAAACATATATTTACCATGTTCTGTATATAACTGTCAGTCAGCACAGTGTCAAATAAGTAGACCGTGCTGTGGTATCAATGTCTATGAATAAAAGAAGACACGTAGGCCTATACGCGGTTATCGGTCACTCTGTGACCTGTGACGTCACTAAGTACATAAGTATGGAGCGCATGATACAATATTACATGTGTCACCTGTGACGCCGTGGCTGTTACAAGGCAGGCACAACGATCATCCGAGAGTCTTTCTTGTGTTATTATTTGTAATTTGGCTATACGTGTTTATCTTTAGTAAAACAATTGACCAGATGTATTGTCAGTTTTGTGAACAGCTGTACCACAACTTTCCATGTTTGCTTGTTTCGTCTACAGATGAAATGTACGCAACAAGAACTCAGTTATGTGCGCTGGGGATCCTTTTTTACTATTTACTTGTATAATTATGTTTATAAGTAGTTGAAACCCGTACCTTTACCCTGCTGGTCTCCGTTTACATAAATAGCCTGGACACCATCGTCAGTGTCGCCCGAATTCAGTGCCTTGCTCCTTTGCCGCCGTCGTTTCCTGTGACAGCGAGACAAAAAAACATTTTTTAACAAACTGTTTTAAGAGACCATCTTTGCTTAATTAATACATTTATTTTGATTGTTATTCTGGAAGTGGAACCTAACATTCTTCAAAAAGTGCAACGGCCCTGTGGCTTGAAAGCCTGAAGAAACCAAGGGGGAAAGCAACGAAGAAATGTTCAAGTTACAGGTCGAAGGAAAACACGAAATGATTCTTGGGAAGAACATTCCTGTATTTAGCTTCAATGAAGAAATTATGGTATATTTTCACAAATGCGTTCCCCTTCATCGACGTTAGTTCGTAATCATTAAATACAAAATACATGTACACATATTTTCCTACGCTGGCAATATGAACCGCACAAAGGCAACTTGGGTTGGACCCGAACCCACGATCTCCAGGCCCGGTCACTAGTGCAGACATCTTACCACTCGGCCGCCGGCCCCGCAGAGTTTGCCGGTGTAGGAATGCTGGTAACCTTCGATAACTTTCAGGTAACTTACTTGATGATGACAGCTATCAGGAGAGCAAGAGCCACAGCGACCAAGACGAAGATGACTACGCCCGAAACTGAGCCACTCCCAGGAGAAGTTTCCGAATCATCTGAAAAACAGACAAAATAAAACTAATTAGACTATTATTTACAAATTTTCCACGCTGGACTTATGAATCAATTAGCTCATTGGATTAAGTTAGGTAATAAATGCATAAAGATTATCAATTTCGTATCATTACCTCATGACCATTGTTTCAGCACCTTCTTGTGATTCTTATTTTTTTCATAAATACCTAAGACAGTTTACCCATTCCTATTGGTCGAGAGCCCGTCACGTGGCCGGTCTTAAACGGATGATAAAGATATGGCTAGCTGGTCTTAAACACTTTTCAAAGTTATTGAACGCTGTGAAGTTTGAGTACATTTCATTTACCAGTGGGAATGTCAAATCCAACTTCCTTCCAGGGTCCCGATCCTGCACGCGTGAACGCACACAGCCTGAAGAAGTAGGAAGCCCCCTGTGACAGACCATCAACCTCTACAGACTCTGCTATGGTGTCTTCTGTTTGTATCATGGACCCAGATGCGTCACGTAGCTCGTACGTGTAGCCTGTGATGTTACCGCCTCGTTTGCCGCAGGGAATCGGATGCCATGACACTCGAACGCCCGAACTGGACGGGACGATTTTGTCAAGTTCCGGAGCAGCCATTGGCTCTGCAATAACGTGGATTTAAATAATGTTTCACGTGGTGTACTATTGGGTAATATTTCTTGCATTACATTAGAAAAGGTCAATACATCTTCAACAGGTTTATACTCTTCAGCTTATATTTCCCTTTGTCCGACATCAGATATGTAGGCTTCTTGCTACCCTTGGATAAGTACCTGCATTTGTACAAAAGTCCAGATTTAGACAGGAAGCTGGGAGGAGTCCAAAGCTCTTGTCTGCATCTCATATATGCCACCGGCAATTACAAAGACTAAGAATGCTTACAGTAGTCTAAGCCGCAGGTCTTTCTGGAGCCCCGCTTGAGACACGGCCGTAAATTCAGGAGGGGTATTACGCGCCCTCTTGCGTTTAAGTGCCCTTACCTCCCTCGTTAGTCGTAACTGTCCTCTTCTTCTTGTATTTTTCGCCAGCATTATTTGCGGGTACAACTTGCACACTGTACGTAGAGTAAGCATGCATTGACGTGATGTCAATATCATTGCCATTCACAACTGCTGTATTTGTCAGGGCAGGATCGGTCTTTGATTGGCACTGCTCCAAGTTGAGAAGTTGGTAACTAACGCGGTACGAGGTCACAGGGCAAGGGTTGTCCTCGTTCCCAGTAGTTGTCCAAGAAGCCTGGATTTCGTTGACTGAGGGTTCCAGGTTAAGGGCTCTGATTTCATCTGGAAGAAATGAAAGTCAAATCCCATCATTGCAATTAACTTTATAAAGGAATTTTTGGCAAACTTACAAAGAATTCCAAGCATTTACTTTTACTTGTTTTTATTATCACCAACTTGTTTAAGCACAACTGGTTGTCTACCGATGACTTTTCTGGGTCTGATAAGAAACGATGTTTTTTTATACTCACACTTGGAACATTGCCAATAAATCATTATATACATCAGTGTGTTGAAGTTGAGATCATCACAAGTCCATCGTCGTCAATCACACGTCCCTTCACAAGTTCAATTAGTCACAAGAGACTAATAATAAAAACTGTGTGGCTTGACAGGAGACTGGATGATTTGTGATTCCGACACTGATGGATAAAGTTTTTTTCTTTATCTTCCTCTTCTAGAAGACCCATTTTCGGTTCAATTATACCAATTGAGCAACGGTATATCCAGTGTTTGTCTTCGTCTTTCCTTTTTTTTCTAGTGTTGAAGAGAAACAATAGTACGTACACCTGACTCATCAATTAATGGATTTATGGGGGAAATGACCTTAAAATTGATTTAATCACTGACCTAACACGACTGTGTCTTGCTCTGTCCAGTTTGTCCACGGACCTGCTCCAATGCGAGTATATGCTCGAACTCTGATTGAGTAGGTGGTACACGGTGATAAATCATGAAAGGTAAACGACAACTGTGAGATATTTCTCTTCTCAGGAGGTCTGTTCTCCTGTTGTGATCCTGGCGTTTTGAATCTGTACTCGTAGTGAGTGATATTGCCACGTCTACTGCCACAAGGGATGGGATCCCAGGAGAACGTGACGCTGTCATTGGTTGCTGTACTTCGGATAACCGGTGCTGCAGTTGGTGCTACAGATTTAGGGAAAAAGTAACTATAGTGTATTTACTTCGTGATATGTTGTTTGTGTGACACCTCAGTTTTAGAAAGACCGACAAAAACCAACCCATCTAAATTTGAGATCAAATCCCAAACAACAAAACGTATTGGTTGTATTTACTACAATACATAAATGTTGAGAAATTTGAGACCTCGCGTCTACTTTAAACTACTTACTGATTTCGTTTGTATCTATATATTCGAAATTTTCTTCACCATCTCCAGCTATATTGATCGGCGCAACGTTTACTCTGTACTGTGAGTAATACGCAGGTAGGTGGAGAGTAACGTGAGTAGTGTTGACCGTTCCTACATTTGTTCTGATTGGTGGATTCTGCTGCACGCATTGGTCTACCTCGATGAGTTCATAGGTTACAATGTACGATGTCGCAGGGCAGGGTCCTTCGGAGGAGGCCCAACGAACGTCGAATTCGTTTCGTTCACGGGATATGACCTTGAGGGAATTATCTGGCACAGCATCTGGTACTGTATGGAATAAAAGCATCCGAATGATAATCTCACATGTTATTAATCAAGGGGGAAAAAGTACTCTGCAAAATAGTTTCACAAGTGCATCCATTACAAATTATTTCAGGACAATATGCAGTAAGGATGATTTGTTGTAAGAATTGTTTGCGGGCACAGCATCCGAAATGAACCAAAACAAACCGAAATTCTAAGAACAATCAGAGGTGTTTTGGTCATCACATTGGTGTACCCCTTTTGATACCTACGGACAAACACAAGGAGCAAGTATGCTTACCATCAGTGGCCGTTCGTTGGTGTACAGTTAACCATGGTCCAGACCCTTCATTGGTGTACACCCTAACACGTAGAGTGTAATTTGTACAGGGTTTTAAACCGGTGTGTGTCATTAGTGTGGCTGAACTATTCAGCCTGTTTGTTACCCTTAATCTCATCAAACGTGTTTCATAGCCGATAATGTTGCCGCCTTTCTTCCCACAGGGTATCGGTTTCCATGTCCACGTGATACTCTCGGTCGTTGCTGAACTGCTGTTGAATTCGGGTTGGACCTGTGGAACTGCGGTAAATGAATGATGTATCAATGGATGATTTGCCATATCGTTTAGCTGGCTCTGTTCGGTTTCAGAATAACAGTTTTTAAGAAGTGGAGTTATTTTCATTTTCTTGGTAAGTTGTTTGTACTTAAGGGAGAGAGCGCAGATGGTTTGCAAACAAACTCAAGGATTTTTCTTTTATGCAAATAATGGTATTAAACAGATGGAACGTACCATCCGTCTGCATATGATTTCGATGTCCTATGTCGTACTTAAAATTCGTATTATTTTTTATTTGCGGTTTTCGAAAAATTAGGAGCAACACTTTGTGTTTTATTTCTTGTAGTAAACTGTAATCACAAAAGGGAATATCCGAGAGTGTATTTCAGATCACATGAAACAAGCACAATTGAGTGCATGGCAAAAGGACGACACACAAAATGTAGAAATATACTTACAGGTTTCCCCAGTAGTTACTTGAAGGAACGATGTTGTACCGTTGCCGGCTTCATTTCGCGGGGTGAAAGAAACGATGTAAGTCGAGTACGCCTTTAGTCCATGCAGAGTGATGCTGGTGTCATTGGTATTCACTAATCCGCCATGTTGATGAACATCTAGACACTGCTCCAGGTTGATGACGTCAAAGTTCACCAGGTAGTCGGATGCAGGGCAAGGGTACCTTTGGCTGGTTCCCGGTGCATCCCACGTCAGATGGAGGGTATTGTGACTGGTTCCATTCACGATTAGTCCATCTATGGTATCAGGTACTAATGACAAGAATATTTTTATAGTTTTTTACAGAAAAAAAGGACGTTAGCTAAGTAGACCAATTTATTTTTTTCCGCGGAAAAATTAACATTTTTCGAAACATCGATACCCCCAAAAAAGTTAATTACCATATACTGTAGGTCTTTCAAGTGTTACCGATATAGCACATAACATGTTTGAATAGGCCTAAATTAATGCACGTAAGAAATCGTGCAATGAATGTGTTGGCACTTTTATGCAAAACGCGACATTAGCATACAGTTGAAAAGTGGGTTAAAAGCAAAACATGCTATCTATAAAACACTGCACTTTCAGAACATATCTCATATTAACAATTTCAGACCATGTTACAAATGTATACCTGTGAGATCAAATAAAAAGCTCTGAGTGTAGCTGAATGGTCCGATGTCTTTGGTGGTTTCAGCAGCTACCGCAAATTCATGCCATTTACCGCATAATGACTGGTGTACCGATACAGAGTTGCCTTCAGTCCGTTTTGCCTCGGCTTCATGTTCACTGTCGACTGCCCCGGCTTCAAGTTCACTCTCAACTGCCCCAAACTTGTATACGTAATTCACAATCGTGATGCCGTTGGAACAATTCACAGGCTGCCAAGTGAACGTCCTTGTCGATTTATTATGAAATGAACTGAAGCTTGCGGTAATCAGGGGCGCGGAGAACTGTATATTAGGGTCTGAAGTGAGATAATTATTTTTTGTTAACGTATGAAGGTAAAACCAAAGACCAAGCTCTGACATTCAGCTAGCGAAATGAATTCAGTATGCTTAACAATAAATCCATTTCACCCAGTGTACTTGACCTTCCTCGGCGGCATTATAAGGCATCATGAAATAAAGTATTTGTAATAACGTTTTAAGACGGTTCAGACGTCGTTTGCCCCCCCCCCCAAAAAAAAAGGGAAGAAGAAGAAGCTGGATTCGCCACTGATTTCACCGAGATTTGGGACAATAATTACCAACGTCAAGCGAGTAAGTGACAGTAATTCACAGTAGACTTTTTTATTTGGGAACCTATGCAAAGCTAGTCTGGTTCCAAGACACCTGTTTGTATAGTATGGCGATTCCTGGGCTACGTAAGCAACAATATGACGTGACCATGGAGGTGGCATTTCACCCGATCGTTTTAGAGACGTCAGGGGATAATCAGATCAACGAACCACATCTCTAGCCACAGCGGAGTGTATCAAAGTGAGGTTCTAAGACCCTTCAGTGTTATTTCAGACTTGGGATAGGGCAAGGAACCAGTCTGGGAATGAGAGTATCTTTGCTAAATGCAGCACGCTGTTATCACTTAGATAAAGCAATACGTTGCGTAAATCATTGCATACAACAGAGGTTATGTCCATAGTAGTAAAGGCGATGTTTCGCGTTGCCAAATTAGATATTAGGGTATGCAGAGCAAACGTCAAAAATGCTATTATGCATGCGCAGTTACCTGATATGGTTAATTGTGTCGTGTAGGAGTTGGTCAGTGTAAGTAAATGAAATGGTAAACGTTTCAAACATAGAATAGACAACATATAACACATATTTATGATTGACAAGGCTTTTACCTAGGAACTCTGTGCAAGTTGTGTCGCACGATGCCTTTTTTCCATTGAATGGGAGACATTTTTCTGTAATCAGAAGAAAAAAAAACTTTGCCATAGAAAATTGAAGGATCAGAATCCTGCTTTTTCTACAGCACCTAAGTCCACAGGTTTTGTCTTTTGATTGGCTTAAAGCATGTCACATGGCAATCGCCATCGTTATCATTCTGCCAGACACGGCCAAGACGACAATCCAAAGGGAGCTACGCTCTGCAAAAAAATACAACATGCGTTGCAATCAGTGTAATAACAAGAGATCTGTGTTTACCTGGATATCAGTGGAATGAATAGACTGAATAAGCCCATAAGAAATGCACAATGCTCCATGGATCATCCCAGGTGACTTGTTTTACCACACCATTTAAAGCAGTTCATATGTTTTCACTAGTTCATTTCAGAACCTAATTAAAAGATGAATTAACACCACCATACAATGCAATATGACTTTTGCAGAACTTGTCGTTAACCTGCATCAGTTCATAGATTACCTTGGCAGTTGATTCCTGTGAATCATGGCGCGCAGTCTCCAGGACCCTTGCCCGTAGTTCCGTCGCACGCATCCCCGTCCGTACAGTGACACAGGCGACATTCTTGTCCATATATGTCAGTGTCACAAATTGATGAAACAAAACGCCCGTATTAACATTCTGATACACGTGTCTGGCCTTGTGCCAAGATATCATAATTAGTAAATACCTTGGCAGTTGATGCTTGTGAATCCTGATGCGCAGTCTCCGAAACACTCGCCCGTAGTTCTGTTACATGCGACCCCCTCCATGCAGCGACATGTCTGTGCACAGTCTGCTCCGTAGAAACCATCATCACATACTTCAACAAGGAAATATCGGCTTAAAGACAATGGTAATAAATATCTCCCACAAAATTCCACACCAATGAAAAACTTCAAAAATGTCAACACAAAATCACAAGTAACCCAAAACCTATAATATTGTTACGAACCCAGAATGCTTGATTATGGAAATCTAGCGCCCTCTGGATTCACTCTGTCCATGAAGTACACAATCTTATTGTTGTCTTTTGCTGTTCATTTATTTTACCTACTTATCGTAAATTGCCAACTTGCACTTTTATTCCCAGGGTCTCTTACCAAGCACAGCGCATGATGCAATACCACGCGCGCTACTGTATGCATTATTCATGTAGCGATGTACATGTGCGCGACTGACCACACCTCCCTTCGCCCCAGCGAGCTAAGTTCCTTTCCCCATAGCATGTGTGCTTTGGCGATCTCCGAGAGACTGCCCAGCGGCACGGAGCATTTCTCTCCCCCGTGCGTTACCCATGAACACTAACTGGAGCTCTCGGTCCAGTTTTCCAGTCCCGTACTTAGCTCGAGGGAATGGAATGTTACCCTTGCGTGGTCGCGTAGCTGGGCGTGGTAAGACATCCTGCGGTGTCAATAACCTGTGACACAGTAACCATTTAGCTTGTCACTCACTCCATCAAGGTTGCTCAAGATGTTGTGTAAACACTTTTGCACTCTGATCTAACTATTTGCACACATCTCTCTCTGTATTTGCACACTTCTCTCTCCATGTTTTCCCTTATGTAAATGCACACGTTTCTAGTCTCTTGCACTAGGCACTCTTAGTAAGCCGTGTGACTAGTCATGTGACCCTTAGACATGGAAGATTACTATTGGTTAATTCCTAAATCAGTGCTCATGCATTATTTAATCCCGAAACTTCTACTGCCTATAAATACCGGAGGTTTTCCTCACTTTCGGCAGTGCGGCGAACCACGAAACCAATGTAGTGCGAACGAACCCTAAACCCAAAGTTGTGCGGCGAACTTATATGTTGTGCGGTAAATCGTATGATGTGCGGCGAACCCGACTCTGACGGACCGATTGTTGTGCGACTCTTGTCACTATGAAGTATCGGCCTCCCTTAGTGGTTGAGGCGCGGTGAAGTAATAGTGCAATCACTAGTACTAGTGTTATTATGAAGCATCCTTCTCCTAGATCCCTCGAGGAGTGTGTAGAAGCTGGTGAAATAGTAATACACTAGTCCCAATGGTGCTGTGCGGTTTCGAATGGCCATTGGACTGCTAGTCTTAGCTTGAACATGTTGTGCGGTTGTCTGGTGTTCTAGCCCAGCCAGAGCTAGTTCATCCCCGTCACCACAGCGGACGGCTCCCGCTGTGGCCAGCCGGCTCCCCGTAGCCATTCTCCCGTAGTTCAGCTATGCTAGCCCGGTCTTGTCATAAACACTATCCTTGGTGCATAGTGCCTCAATTGACCTTGGATACCCGATACGCCACATGCACACTTTGGTTCGAACTGTAGTGCGGCCTGGTACACTTGCTGGCCCCGTCCAGTTGCCGTTGCCTCCCCGGTCACCGTAGCGGACCGCTCCCGCTTCGGTCTGACCGTCGATAACCCGTACCGTGCCGGTGCCCACTCAGTTCGTATTGGTTGACATGGTTTTGCCATAGTACATAGTACATGTATAGACTTTGTAGACGCCAACCTGTTATCTCTATAACGCTACCAAAGACTACCAAAAGGAGAAACCCTATAGGTTGATGAAATCTAACAAAGTTATGTAAAGTGATGAGATGAATAAATCAGTGTATTGACATGTGTGACTGTCACCCCAAAGCTCTGTTTCCCTCCAACTTATTGAATTATTGTTGACTCTAATAATTGTTTCATGAACTGCTATTAGCGAACGCAACACTGGTGGCAGCGGTGGGCTACAGACTTATACACACCGCCGATTTATGGAAAATCGTCTATCTGATTTTTTTTCAAACCTTGAACACTGAACTCTAAGTTACACCTTTAGTAACTTCGACTTAGCCAGCCATTACAGCTCGACCGAGGTTATACACGTTATCTTCGTGGTGCCATACCCCTGTATACACCATGCCAAAAAAATATCGTAAGTCGCGTAGGCTTAATGCCTCTGCAGAAGCAGATGACCTTGAGCTGTCATTCGGCTCATTATCATTGCGGCCTGATGAAGCAGACCAGCTGGACACTCTGAAACGAGAACTTAAGGAGGCAGAAAAGCGTGCTGTTCAGGCAGAGCAACGGGCAGCGTCACTGCTTAAGGCAAGCACGCCCTCTATGCCATCGCCAGGAACACCTCAGTCGTCATCCGGCGAGTCACCGGGGATTGCTGATGATTCCCCTGTGCATCTTACCCCAGAGTCCACTAGTTCCCCCCAGTACAAATAATCTGGCAGACAAACTTCTTGTGCCGTCACCTTCCCAAGTGCCCCAATCGTCAAAACAACGCAAATGTTTAATGTGCCTCTTCCTAGGCAGGGAGAATTCAATGGGACCGGGGCATGGGAGGGGTTCATCCGTCCATTCATGGGTCTAGCAGGGGCCTGTGGGTGGTCAGCCGAGGAAAAGAAATTCCGACTGATAAGCAGTCTAAAGGGCAAGGCTGCCGAGTTTGTTTTTCAACAACTCGATCCCTCAACCCAACAAAACTTTGACAAACTTGTATCGGCACTAGAGAGCCGTTTTGCTGAGCGGCGCACTCAAAATACCTGGCTTGCTCTACTGGAGAGCAAGAAACTTGCCCCCAAAGACAGTCTAACCGAATATGTGGCGGACATTCGCCGCCTAGTTATGCGGGGGTACCCCACAGCCGATACCAACACAAGAGAAAGTATAGCCCTGAGACATTTCCTGAAGGGATTGCCCGATCAGCAGACCATTGTTGCCATCGGCATGACCAACCCCAAAACACTAGAAGAAGCCCGGACAGCTGTAGAAAATTTCATGAGTCTTCGCGAGAACATGAGTCCAGGAAAAAAAACCCTCCGCGTCCATGCTGTCCAACCCGCCGAAACTGCACCAACGCCTAACACTGTGAAGCAGGAGGCATACGTCACACAGACGCAGATGAAGCAGTTTTCGGACAATCTCGATCGCCGCTTGACCGGCATAGTCAAGCTCATCAAGGGGAATGGATCAGCCGGCAAACCAAAAACTGCCAAACCCGCCGACAACAACAATAGCAAGGGCAAGTCAGATGTCACTTGCTATAAATGTGGTGAACTGGGCCACTTCGCTAACAAGTGTCTCAATCCAGCGGCTAAGGACACCGTCGTCATTCAACCGACGGCGGGAAACTAACTAGGACCGTGCCGTCCGGCCTGGCAACGGTCCAACCCCCCGAACACATTATCAGAATGGCCAGACAGCCATTCCAAGGCATTTCTGCATTTTTGCAGGTGCAAATCAATGGTACAGAGACCGAACTCTTAGTCGACACAGGAGCTGCAGTTACCGTTATTTCTTCGGAACTTTTCGACAGCATCCCCGCTGAACAGCGCCCTCAACTTAAGCCCCCATGTGAGCAGTTGAAACTCCAGACAGCGAACAATGAACACATTGCCATCCAAGGCATTGCCCCTATCCGTATTGATATTGGCCAGCAACAATTTCAATGGGACGCGTATGTCGCACCAATTGGAGATTCAGGGATCCTGGGCTATGACTTCCTGTATTTCTTTGACTGTGTACTGGAGGCACGCAGCGGCATTAAAATTGCCGGCAACTGGTTCAAGTGGACAATCAAGGGCACCCCTCCATGTGCCATGAAGATTGCGCTAAAGGAAAACACCGTCATCCCCGCATTCAGTGAATGGATAGCGGAAGGTGTTGCCGACATTCAAAAACTCGGCTCGAACTTTGCCATTGTAGAGCCAGCATCAAGCGACAGTCTAACTCACAATCTCGTGGTCGGCAGTTCCCTTATTGACCCCCGCCGAAAAGACATCGGCATTCCCGTTAGACTCATGAACACGTCGCCCGAGAACATTGAACTTCATGCAGGTGTAACACTTGGTTACCTGCGTGACGTTGATGAGATAGAACTCATAGCCGAGCATGAAAACAGCGATGAAGATCACATTTCCCGTGTGATGCGTGCGTGTAGAGTACATGCACACCAAACTTCGCCTGTTGTCGACACGCATACCCCCCTTGCCCCAAGTTCCCCTACACGTTCTGATCAATGGTCAGACGGTCTGCAGAAACTTTACGAACGGAGTTGTGAAGATCTGTCTCCCGAGCAGCAGAAAACATTGTGCGAACTTTTGGCCAAACACGAGAACACATTTGCCAAGTCCGCAGAGGATTTGGGAAGAACTTCAATAGTACAGCACACTATTGACACCGGAGACGCTCGTCCTATACGCCAGCCCCCCCCCCCCAGGCGTCCCCCTAAGGCATTCCAGGGTGAGGAGGAGAAAGTTCTTGAGAGCCAACTCAAGGCAGGTGTGATCCAGGAGTCAACTTCACCTTGGGCCTCGCCAATGGTTTTTGTGCGCAAGAAGGATGGCACAACTCGCCCATGTGTCGACTACAGAAAACTGAACAATGTAACGCGCCGTGACGCGTATCCCTTACCCCGCGTTGATGACTGTTTAGATTGCCTCAGCGGAGCCAAAATCTTCAGCACACTTGATCTGCAGTCAGGCTACTGGCAGATTGAGATGAAGGAGAAAGATCGCCCCAAAACCGCGTTTGTGACCAGGAGTGGCCTGTACGAGTACATAACTATGCCATTCGGACTTTGCAACGCGCCAAGCACCTTTGAGCGTTGTATGGAACTCGTGCTTAAAGGTTTGCAGTGGAAAACTCTGCTGATCTATCTTGATGACGTCATCATCCTATCCTCCACTTTCCAAGAACACATACAGCGACTCGATGAGGTTTTGCAGCGGCTTGGTCATGCTGGACTTAAACTCAAACCAAGCAAGTGTGAACTTTTCCGCGAGAAAGTCATTTTTCTTGGACACACCATTACCCAGGATGGTGTTAAACCTGACCCCAGCAAGGTTTCCGCTGTGCAAAACTGGCCAACTCCTAAGAACATCACCGACGTGCGCTCGTTTCTTGGACTGTGCTCTTATTATCGCCGATTTATCGCAAGTTTTTCAACGATAGCTGGCCCCTTAAATCGTCTGTTAGAGGCCGGACAGACATTTGAGTGGACCCCTGACTGTCAGCAGGCTTTTGACACTTTAAAAGCCGCATTAACCGGTGATGAAATCATGTCCTACCCCAACAATGATGGACTTTTCATCATCGACACCGATGCCTCCGATACTGGTATCGGCGCTACCCTGTCACAGCTCCAGTGGTGTGAGCGTACCCAACGAGAAGAAGAACGACCGATAGCCTACGCTAGCCGGTCAATGACTAAGACACAACGGCGATACTGCACCACCAGACGAGAGCTCTTCGCTATTGTGACTTTTGTCCAATACTTCAGGCACTACTTACTAGGAAAGCAGTTCCTAATACGCACCGACCATAGTGCTCTTCGGTGGATCATGTCCTTCCGAGATCCAGTTGATCAGATGGCTCGATGGTTGCAGATTATGGCCCAGTTTGACTTTAAGATTGAACATCGTGCAGGAAGAAACATGGCAACGCAGATGCCCTCTCCAGGGTGCCGTGTGACCCTGACGACTGCCCGTGCTACGACGGCAGAACCATTCTCACTGAACTACCGTGTGGCGGTTGTGACAAGTGCGTCGCTAAAAGTGAACTATGGTCTGATTTCAATAAAGTCGACAACGTAATCCCCCTATCAACCCGAACCATCAAAACTGACTCTGCTGAAGTTCAAACCCCTCCGACCAAGCCGACTGACGTCCCGCCCCCGTGCAGTGACGTCATCTCCGACACGGTCAAGCCCTTATCCTTTGCGACAGTCCTCGTACTGATGGCAACGATGGTAACCCTCCTACTGGTTCCTGTGTGCAGCTTAGGTAAACTCATTTGGCGCTCGTGCAGTGAGTTTACCGGCGACTTTGACGATGGAAAGTTCAATAGTCGTTTTACGCACACAGTTACCCTATTGGAGAAACTCCCGGACACCCCACGTCCGCCGCCATTCGGGCAACACGACCAAAACGTGCTAAAAACTCCCCTGACTCAGTGAGAAAAGAAAAGAACTGCGACTCGCCCTGTGTCCCCGATAAAGATGCAGAATCCGGTTCAAGTGCCGAATCGCAAAGTGCAGAACTATCTAATCTTACTGACGAGCCAAACGACCAAGAAAGTGATGGTTCAAGTGATCGTGCCCCCATGGTCGCTAACACCGGTTCCAGTGCTGGACATCACTCATCTTGGGTTAACGGTTACACATCAGAGGAGATGGCTGCAATGCAACGAGCAGACCCCGAACTGAAA